GGGGGGCGCGGGCGGCGCAGGTGCAGGTGGTGGCACAGGTGCAGGTGGTGGCACAGGTGGTGCAGGCGGTGGCGAAGTGGCAGTGGGGGTCACCTGGATCACTGCAGGACATGAACGGTTTTTGAATGGGCGTTCATGTTTGCTTGAGGTATGTATGAGGAAAGTTCTCATAACACAGTACAAACAATTTTCCAAGTTTGAGAGCGACACTGGATCACTGATCCGGACATCCAGAAAACCTTTAAAATCACCAGCTTCTAGTAATTAGTAGCATCATGGGATCTGCTATGAATGGGTTTCTTCTGCAGGTCAACAAATGAAAAACTATGTTTTTGAGGTTGGCAGCCGATCGAAGCTACTAGGTGCAGGCCATTGCTATTAGGTTGGAGGCCATGGCTACTAGTAACAATAAAGTTTCCTAGTATGTCCTTGAAGTTTCTTAGTACTGAATATAAATCCAGCTCGACCTACCCTGACGAGAAAACATCCAATGCTACGAAGCATGGGCTCCCCAGGCAGCCGCATGCCGAACACCAAGTTTTCCACGGCCCAGCTGCATGCGAGCTCTCAGTGTCGATGCCCAGCTGAGCCTGATTTCAGGAAAGGCCAAGGGGTACAGCGGGCACAACGAGTCGCACTTGTGAAGTAGGAAGATCACCATAAAGGGGTCGCACTTGTTACTTGTTCCCGGATCGCACTGAGATCGCCGACTCAAATCACCGATTTTAAAAAACGCCGACGAAAACCACACCAATGAATGAGATGTGGATCCACCTAGGACATACACAACGGTCGGGTCTCACTTCTATAAATACATATATATATATATCAATAAATAATATATATATATATACACGGTTCTGTTTTGTGACCCTCCGCCAACCAACTTAAACCCAGGGATGTTGCCCGGGCCGACGATTGTGGTTGCAAGACCACGTGTGAAGTCACTACGTGTGTGTGTGTGTGTCACCCTCTGTTTCTAAAAATTTTACTCTGTTCACAAGACCAGCAGGGGGCTAGCGGCCCATTTCTCGACGCTAGCCAACGAAGCCAGAGAAATGGGTGGATGAGTCTGTGGACGCACAGACTTGTACCTGCTGAGCAACTGTTGACCACGCTGTTCCACTCTTTGTTTGATTCATGGTCTTTCCATGATACTTCCCACAAACAGGTTCTGCAGCAGCTGATCGCCGCTTTCAGTTTGAGCGCTTTTGCAACATTTGTTCAACATTCTGTTCATTGCGGACTTTGCCACCTTTCCGTTCCCTCACTCCTTTCATCCGGGAATTGATGTAACTGCAAACCCATTGTCTAAGTGTGTGTGTGTGTGCGCCACCATGTGCATCACGCTTAGGGACCAAACGCGTGGGAACCGATTAGCATGCAAAAAACATGGGTTTAAGTCATGCTCAAAAAACAGAAGCCTGTATATTATATATATAATATATACCTATATATGTATAAGATTATATTAGATTGTATTAGGTATCACTCATCTGCCAAATTGAACAAAGGACACCAATCACGGGTGGTGTCTGGAGCTGCACAAACATCTCTCACCACACCTTGGCCGCGCGAAACTCGGCGTCGGACAGAAGGCCGTCGCGTTTCCTCACAGCAAAGGCGTCGGCCAAAGGTGTTGGCGATTTCAGTGCTCAGTCCTCCCACCTAGTAGCGTCCTTGCTCCGTTCGTAGCGATGCCAGGAGCCCCTAGTAGCTTCTTGTTCCTAATAGTAAGGCCAGGAGCCCCGGCCCTAGTAGCGTCCGAACGCTCCGTTCGAGTCGCGATGCCTTTGGTGCTGATTGCGTGGGACATCTTGGATCTTTCAGATACGAAGGACATCGGAAGCTACTAGGAACAAGTGCATCGCTTCTAGTAACAAGTGCCTTACTAGTAGAAACAAGTGCCAAGCTAGTAGGAACAAGTGCCTTACTAGTAGAAACAAGTGCCACGCTAGTAGTA